GATTTATCAAATTATGTATATCTCGCTCTTCCTCATCATCATTCCCAGCCATGTCCGACCTAGTCACAGATCCTGTTCTCTTTTCCTAAGATACCTCAATCAATTGTGAAATTACACATAAGCCGTCTATGCGTCTTCCTCCCCTCTCTATTCTGAACAGCAGGTCACCGGCTCTTTCATTATAGTATGTACAAAGTAAATGAGAGCTGACGAAATAGTGATGGATGTTTTAAACAGAGGGGGTGGCAGCCATAAAGCTTCCTGAAGAGAAGCAGCGGATACCTGGCGAGCTTCCCAGAGCCTTTCATCTGGTGTTGGGACTCATACTCTCCTCCAACTGGCACTTTAAAGGGGACCTATCATGCAAAATGCACTTCTTGATGTCTTTTCTACATAAATACGTGACCCCGGTGCGTCGGGGAACTCACGCAGCGTCAGAAAATAAAACCCTCTCTCTTTTCCTCCGAACCCAAATCTCTAAAAATGGGGAACAACGGAGCTGATCCAGATTTGCGTCCGATATGACGTAATATCTGAAATGTGGACCCACGGCCCAATCAGAAACGTTGCTATCAGAAACAATGCCCGACTGTTTTGGACGTAATATGGCCGGTGTTTACATTAGCATCGCTAACACTCAGAGCTAACCTGTACTGGAGAGCATGTGTGTGAAGAAGCAGGAAGTAAAAAGGAACTCACCTTGTGGTATAACCGGCAAGAGAGAAAGCCTTTGAGCTCCAAACTGTTTCAGAGAGAATCCTTGATAATCCATGATATGGCGTTTCATCACGGCAGCATTTAGTTTAGACAGTAGCTGCCGGGTCCCGCATGAGCTCAGACCCCTCCTCTTTAAAGCTTTATTATACCCAAACAGCACTTTAGAAACAGGAAGTGAAATGGAGGGATATGAGGCATGGCTAGAATGATCTGTTTGGTGTTTTGAGCAAAACACTTCATAGACATATTTTTTATATATTTTTATATATCTGAGACCTATGCTATTACCTACAAATAGCATGATAGGTGACCTTTAAGTAGAAAGTGGTTAACATTTGGTGAGAAATGTATTCCTTCTGGTGAGGACAAAATTCTGTTTATTCAAAAATTAACATACTGATTATTTTTTGATAATAGGAGACCTTTAAACAAAAGAGCGGGATATAACAACACCACAAAACATCCCAAAGTCAAAGTCTCGCTCCTTCTAGTCGCTCAGAATGTGTGATCAAGTGATAAAACTAAGAAGGTTTCCCATTAATCAAAATCCTATTTAATCAAAAAAAGGACAACATTCGAAAGAAACAATAAATCCTCCGACGTGGCTTTCAAACCAATCAGCAGTTTAATTATGCAGCCACTCAAAAAGGCTCTGGAGAAGGCGGGGGGGAATTAGCTTGCAGTACTAACAGATATGGAGTGTTATTAAAACTCACTCCCACTCTCTGAGTAGGAAATCCCATTGTGTGTCATTGTCTGCTGAAGCCTGTGGGAGATGGCCAGCAGCACCATCACCCCACTTATCTACAGTTATAATTGCCCCTAAAGCTCACGGCTAAAACGGCTACTGAGGATTATGATGAAGGTGAAATGAAAAAGCACGATCGCAATCTAAAGAGACGAGAAGAGGGGAGGTTAGGATTTCCTGCTTGCTTTAACAAAACAAGAACCAAACAAATTGACCACATCCATATTTTAGTCTACAGGAGACAGCCACAAAGAATACACAATGTATGTAGTGTAAGCCACTTTGAGCAAAGCACCTGCTACATGTATTACAGATGTATGATAAGTATTGGCCAAAGTGTGGTACATTATTATTAGTATGTATTAGGGCTGAACGATATATCGTGTCATGGCGATAACCGCGATATGTGCATGTGCGATATTCACATCGCAGGGACGTGCGATTTTATTAATCTTTTTTATTTAATTTTTTTTAGGACGTGCGATATTAAGTAGGGAAATTAACTCAAACACGTCATGTTACAATTATTTTGCTGCTTGCTACAAAAAGAAAACTTGCGCAGCTCTCATGTCAGGGGTACTTGAGTGAATGCCGGCTCTGCATGCACAGCAAATCACAATCATTCTTGATCAGATCACAGCAGGCCCCGCCCCGATCACAGCAGGCCCCGCCCCTATCACAGCAGGCCCCGCCCCGATCACAGCAGGCCCGCCCTGATCACAGCAGGCCCGCCCTGATCACAGCAGGCCCCGCCCCGCTAGTTTGCAGACCATCAAAACACCGGTAAAAAATGAGCGAGGCAGAGGAGGACAATACCGAAAAGCAACATCTGCCATCTGGAACTATTTTGGATCCAAAAAGGTTCTTCTCTTCTTCATTCACAGATTATTTGAGGGGAAGCAACATGCATTACTAGTGCTGTAGCGTTGACGATATTTTGAAGTCGACGCGTCGACTTCAAAATATCGTCAAAGACATATTTCCGCGTCGACGCGTCGCTACCATAGACTGTATATATGGTCGCCACACACACGTGGGTCACCCAAAGCAACAAGCAGTTCGCAATCGCACTTCTAACACAATGGAGACTGAAACGGCTATCACCTCCTCCTCACAGGATTGCGCACGAAGCCCTCAAACGAAAACATCTCGCCCTAGGTCTTCAAAAGCATGGGAATATTTTAAAGTTAGTCCAAAACGCAAAGATATTTATATATTTATATCTCACTGAGACTGCTGCTTGACCGGAAGCAGCAGCTAGCTGTGGTGGCTACCATTAGCAGCTAGCATTTGCTCTCCGATTTTTACATAAAAATGGAATTATGGATTATAAATTCAATCATTTTTTTATACATAGACGTTAAAAACCTATGGATTAACCGATTCAGCCGCGTTTTTTCTCATTTTAATGCCATTGAACACGTATTTTGATCAGATTGACAGCTACGGTGAGACGATCTCCCTAGAAGCTCTGTGAAGGTAAGTGTTGTGATGACTGTATTTGCTTCCCCTGTCGCGAGTCCGGATCACTCAGTGATGATACTATATACCTACATAATCTGTGGAGTCTCAGCTTTAATCGGATATCTTGTAAATGCAGCTACGATAAGTAATAAGGGTACTTTTATCTTGAGTTCTGTGCCAATGTCCGTTAGCATTTTTCGCTCAGGGGTCATTTAGATGCTTCTTATGAGACTTGTGTTTTGTTTTGGTAAACATGGTTTGTATCGTCAGTTAGCTGAGATTATTTCCGTTAATCTGGTATAACACATTAATAGGTTCTTAAATATTAAGATCCCCTGAGACACAGTATCGTGAAAAATCTTTTTTTTACATTACGTTTTTTATGAATTGAACAACAGAAAAATAATCGTTCGATTAGTCGACTAATCGATCAAATAATCGCCCGATTAATCGTTTTCAAAATAATCGTTTCCCCCCAGCACTATGCATTACCATGACATGTTAGATCATGACTTAAGGTATGATGAGTCAACCAGTTAAGATCCGGACGTCTGTGACTAAAATCCTTCATCCGGTTACACACACACACACACACACACACACACACACACACACACACACACACACACACACACACACACACACACACACACACACACACACCACACACACACACACACACACACACACACACACACACACACCACACACACACACACACACACACACACACACACACACACACACACACACACACACACACACACACACACACACACACACACACACACACACACACACACACACACACACCACACACACACCACACACACACACACACCACACACACACACACACACACACACACACACACACACACACACACACACACACACACACACACACACACACACACACACACACACACACACACACACACACACACACACACACACACACACACACACACACACCACACACACACACACACACACACACACACACACACACACACACACACACACACACACACACACACACACACACACACACACACACACACACACACACACACACACATCACACACACACACACACACACACACACACACACACACACACACACACACACACACACACACACCTGAAGCTAATTGCTGAGGATCAGAGAGTGCGTTCCTGAAGCATTCAGACTATACTCGGAGGTTGAGTGAAACCCACCAATTAACATTAAAAGGGCCAATTATCAGAGGCAGGGTGGGTGGATTTAAGGTGACTTTCACGATCTTTAGTGGAGACTTTAGAATAGATGCTATGCTTTGTATGCAGTGGCAGAGTTTAGGGGCTGCAGCTGTTGTTCTTTTGGGGAAAAAAAACTAATTGCGATATCTTCTTCTTTCGTGTAACGTCAGAGGTCCAACTCGGTGTCGTGTAGCCATGCCCGCATCTCTGGTCCTAAGTCGAAGAGGCTGGCTTCCGAGGGTGGTCTATATAAAGGGCAGGTGGTTATTATATGTTCGGCAGTCTGTTCAGGGTCACCGCACTCGCATGCAGAACTGTCTGCCAGGCCCCACTTCTTCATTGATGTTTTGAAGCGACCGACCCCAGTTCGTAGGCGCATATGCGATATGATTTGACTAGAGAAAGTGATCGTTTTTGAGACACTATTTATTGAAAAATATATTTAAATGATGTGATACCCCAAACGTGGGTATCTGTGCCGAACAACGATACTATTATTAAGTCTGTAGAATACCATTTGTAGGAAGGGACTTCTCTGCAGCTCCACAATACTTCACAATTCTACCAACAATTGCACCAAGTCCGATATTAATATTGCATTCTTCGATATTGCAATTTCCATAAAGATGTCATTAATTCTGCAGCCCTAGTAAATTCCAAAATGCTCAATGACAAATGTTATCAGAATATTTGTATATAGCAGTTACAAGGAACCTACGTGTTATGATATATTTCTAAACATCACCCATTTCTCTTTTGGAATAGCAGCGTGTTGAGTACCTGGGTCATGTGACAGTGAGACATAGAGTAAGGGTGTGTGTGGACTCACCAGAATTTTCTCAGGCTCCTGCTGGGACTCAGAGGAAGACTCCATGTTTGTTTTGATCCAGAGTCCGGCCTGTCAGCGCTGCTCGGACCACTGCATATCTGAGAGAGAGAGAAGAAGAACACAGTTCACTAAAAGGACAATATGTTTAGTGCAATTCCTTTCACTTTGGTTTTTTTGGTGTGTAGGTTTGTCTATACAAAACACATTCTCTACAACACACGTTGGTTAAGTTTCTCCCTTTCACACCAACTCTACAATCAGTGTTGTAGTCAAGTCACCAATTCACGAGTCCAAGTCACTCTCAAGTCCCCACTTTTCGAGTCCGTGTCCAAGTCCGAGTCACCTAGGGAGTGTCCGAGTCGAGTCCGTGTCCAAGTCCGAGTCACCTAGGGAGTGTCCGAGTCGAGTCCGAGTCCAAGTCCGAGTCACCTAGGGAGTGTCCGAGTCGAGTCCGTGTCCAAGTCCGAGTCACCTAGGGAGTGTCCGAGTCGAGTCCGAGTCACAAGTCTTCATGTATTAACCTTCGTGGATATATTTGTTGAAAAAACTGTTACTTTGCACAATTGTAATGTATATAGTATCTGTATATGTTTCTCTTTTTGAAGAGTATTGTCTTATGTATATTCTATATTGTGTATTCTTAATATATCTATAATCTATCTATCGATCGATCGATCTATCTATATGCATGCACTGAAAAATCTACTTTAATTACAAGTATTATGTCAACAGATTTCACATAACTGTATTAGATTATTTGAAAGCAATAACATTAAGTTGAACCTAATATTTTGTATTAAAACTAATATTGCTTTCAACTAACCTAATACAGTTGTGTGAAATCTGTTGACATAATACATTTAATTAAAGTCAACGTTTCAGTTGTTTCGGCGTGTATGCATCTGTTGATTTACATTCAGCACACAATCGTCCCTCAAAGGAGCCCTTGAAGGGTCAGACTCATGTGTTCTCCATGCAGTCACTGTACCTGCACAGAATACATTACAACACTAACCCTCCAGTTCATAACTGTCCTCCCACTGATTCAAACACTGCACTCAGACCTCGACATGAACACGCGGGACCATCTGGTAATTACACTCTGCGCTTTTCAGGAGATTATTTTGGGCGGTGCAGTTGCCTGCCGACATGTGGTGTCCTAAAAAGGCTTTTAAGATTATAAAGGGTACCCACTTTATCTGATTGCTGCTTCAAGTGGATATTTTAATGATAAGGACCAAACTGAGATTCAGCATCAGACCACGGGGGGGGGGGCATAAGGGGACCAGAGAAAGAAGAAAAACCTTTCTCTTCTCCTTAAAACAGATTTATACTTACATATATATTTAAAAAACAAATGTATTTCTTTAAGAACAAATAAATATATGTGTTAATAATTTAGTTTTTGGGAGAAGGGGTGGGATTTAAATAAGTGTAAACTTCTTCCCACCCCTTTTCGGATGTGTAATTAAGTAGATTATTTGTTTGTATTAGGGATGCCAGTGATTATTCGATTATTCGTTACAGTCTCCATAATCGAATATTATTTTTAAAAATCGATTTTATTTATATATTTTTATTATTATTTATGTTTTTTCTTTTTTTTTCTGGCTTAGTTTCAACCAAAATATAAACTAATGCTAATAATAGTAATAGTATTAATAATTGTAAATGGCCATTGGTCACACCACCAGTTTGTTTTACTGTAAACTTGGAGGAAGCCTGCGTGCAGAGCAGACTGCTGCTGCAGCACGCACACACCGACCCCGCCCCCACCCCCCCTCTCCCTCACACGTGCGACTAAAGATAAACAAAGCGGCAGGTACGGTCGGTCGAATAATCGATTATTATTCGCCAGGACTGCCGAATAATCGATTTTGATCATGGTCAGTTTCTGGCAACCCTAGTTTGTATATAATTTAGAATAAGTCATATTTTTGTAAATCAATTTTGACATTGCTTAATTTTGTATTGTATAATAATTCTCATGTTAAATTTGTGTATTATTGTTTTACACATTCAAAATAAATCTAATCAAATCAATATTTTGAAAATCGGCATCAAATGAAGTGTTGAATCGAGCTGTAGAAACTCCAAGCTTTACTATTGTAGTAAAGTATATAAAGTACATTTCCCACCTCTGCTGAGAAGCCGAAATCAAAAGGGAGATGCTGTGCGACCTACAGAGAGAACATGAGTTTCTTCAGAGGTGCCAAGAGGAAGTAAAGCAGCTTCAGGAAACTCTTAAAACCAGTGCCTGTTTTCCAGGTCTCAGGCTCGAAAAGGACATTCCCAGAACAAATGACTTCCCTTCTAAAAAGGGGTAAATTAATAATATGTTTCCTCAAAGCAATGATAAACCTGTGAGTTGGATGTAGAAAAGTCAGAATCAATATAGAATTTTTTTAATTTTAAAGTAAATTCAGATTGAACACAGTAAAAAACTGTAAATGATTGTGTCCGTCCAAAAAAAACAAACCTTACTTATAGTGAAAACCACCCTTGAATGATGGGATGGTAGACTAAAAGCTTGTGGAATCCAAACTACAACATATAATAAGTACCCTGTATCAAGATTGATGCAAAACAAGTGACATTTGACCTTTTTAGAGAGATTTAGAAAAAAACAAAACACTTCTGGGGTCATTTGGGTGGATTTTCCATATCTCTGGCCCCTCGGTCGATTTTGATGATTGACACCTCTTGTTAACCGTTAGAGCCAATAGAATCGAGGGGAAGTTCCTAAAATCCATCTAAACATTACCCATTGGTGAATGAGTGATGCGTAGCCAGAACAGAGAGGCGAAGTCCCTCCCTTTCCTCCATGGGACCTTATTTCAGAAAAGTTATGCATTGAAGTCGATGGAGAGAGAAAGATTATCTTTCCATCCCGTTTGAATTGTGCCACGAATTACACACATGATGTTTGTCAATTTAAAAGATAATTTTGCAAGTCAAAAAAATAAAAACGTGTTGTAAAACTGTGAAGTAACACTTTGTTTGTGTGAAACGCCCAATGACCTACATCTCCCGTCTCGCTCCACACACCCAGACGGCCGTCACGTTGAAACATTTCACTTCTTTCTTTCAGAATGAGGCGGAAAGTATTAAACGAGGTGGAAATCACTCCAAGTCTGGGCGCGTTGAGAGCTGTGCACACACACAAGGGGAGTTAGTCGGTTCCGTGAGAGCCAGCATGCGGGACCGGGATTCTGGGATTTGTAGTCTTTCTAGTTGCGTATTTTCCATAGTCTTATATTTCAACAGTTTTACGACAAACTGTGACTTTTTTGACGTGGAAATTATTTTTTAAGATTGACAAACATCATATGTGTAATTCGTGGCACAATTCAAACGGGATCGAAAGGTAATCTTTCTCTCTCCATTGACTTCAATGCATAATTTGTCCGAAATAAGGTCCTATGAGTCCCACCGGAAGGGGAGCGACTTCGCCTCTCTATGCCCAAAACCGGAAGCTGTCATACACTCTCGTAGCAGCTAATATGAAGTCTCCGTTATTGACATACATATGAAGATGGATTATCAGTTATCATTTCAGACACATTGGATTAACCTTCAGCAGCGTTGTTATCGTTGATTCACCTAATAAACACAATGGACACGCCAGTCACAGACAATCCACTCTGCTACTACACTCCCGTCTTTATTTTCTACAACACTTTTCTGACACCTCTCCCCTTGCTGGCCCATAACAATCTGTTTCAGCCGCACCACAGCAGTGTGCCAGCTGAGAGCTTTGAGTCAATGCCAAAGATAGAGGGCAAACACACAGGGAATCCTAAAATGTGTGGCTTGGCAGTGTCCCGAAAACAAGGCGTGAAACACCTGCAGAGGGGTTCCTCCAGAGCCAAAAGATCACAGGGAACCTTTTCAAAGAATATATACCTGTAGGCGACACACTCATCAATTGCAGAGTCAAGTTTAAGAGCGTAAACACATGGTTTGTGAATATGCACACCTGCAAACAAAACAAAAACAACATGCACAGTAGGGCTGAACGATATATTGTGTCATGGTGATAACCGCGATATGCGCATGCATCGCAGGGATGTGCGATTTTATTAATCTTTTGTATTCATTTTTTTTTTTAGGACGTGCGATATTAAGTAGGTAAATTAACTCAAACACGTCATGTTACAATTATTTTGCTGCTTGCTACAAAAGGAAAACTTGCGCGGCTCTCATGTCAGGGTTACTTGAGTGAGTGACATGCCGGCTCTGCATGCACAGCAAATCACAATCACAGCAGGCCCCGCCCCGATCACAGCAGGCCCTGCCCCGATCACAGCAGGCCCCGCCCCGATCACAGCAGGCCCCGCCCCGATCACAGCAGGCCCCGCCCCGATCACAGCAGGCCCCGCCCCGCTAGTTTGCAGACCATCAAAACACCGGTAAAAAATGAGCGAGGCACAGGAGGACAATACCGGCGAGAATGAAGATTTACTTCCAAAAAGAAAAGCAACATCTGCCATCGGGAACTATTTTGGATCCAAAAAGGTTCTTCTCTTCTTCACAGATGAACCCCCTTATTTGAGGGGAAGCAACATGCATTATGATGACATGTTAGATCATGACCTAAGGTATGATGAGTCAACCAGTTAAGATCCAGACGGCCGTGACTAAAATCCTTCATCCGGTTAAATATAGTTAAAAAAACGCAATATATATCGAAGGGGAAAAAATATCGCAATGTCAGTTTTTGTCAATATGGTGCCGCCCTAATGCGCAGGATCGCAGTCTAGTGGCACAGGAAACTTGGACTAATGTGCAACAAACCCTGTTTCTTTGTGATGAATATCGGTGGATAAATGATGGATTTATGACACAATACCATAATTAAAACAATGAGAAAGGTTTCTGCGCAGAATGATGACACAAAATCCCTTTCATTAAGTACAGCTGATCCCCCACAAAGGTTATTTATGTTCCTTTGGGTCTTGTTGGCTTATTATGTCATATATAAATTAGGGCTGTCAAACGATTACAATTTTTAATCAGATTAATCACAGCTTAAAAATTAATTAATCAGATTAATCACCATTCGAACTATGTCCAAATATGCCATTTATTTATGTAT